GGTAACCCATCTAAGTTAGCGACAGAGTGTTGTTAATGCCCATCGTATTTTTGTTTAATTTCTTTTATCTGCTTGGAAGCGCCAAAGATAAACTCTAATGCCAAAATATGTAACACTTTACTGGAAATGTAACATCTCATCGTCTAGATCCTGAAGATTTACAATGTTGCTTTAACGTTAGCCACAAATTTCACCATGACTCTTGTTTACAGGGACCTCCAGGACAAACTGGACCATCTGGACCTGTGGTGAATATTTACTGAAGCATTTTTTAACTCCATGCTATTGTTGTATCGTCTTTAACATGCATTTCTGGGTTTAAGGGTTTGAGGGGTCCACCAGGTGTCGCTGGTCCTCAAGGCCCAGCAGGTCACAATGTAAGTCCAACACTGAAATATTTACTCATAAATAAGTTCATTTATGCTTCACTTGTCTTGACTTGTGTAACTCTCTGCAGTGAACCACAGTTTTGGTGGATGCTGATGCATGCCTGTGATCTTCAGCTGATAGAAAATGTAATGTGTGGCTTTTTCTCCAAATGTAGGGTCTGCCAGGAAGGCCAGGAGAAAAGGGCTCAGCAGGAGAGCCTGTAAGTACACACAGCTAGAGAACAACATCAGAGCTTCTGTTTCTCCAGCTGTTTGCTTCAGTGCATGCATTAAATATAAAGCGGGATATGAGAACACTTTGTCCTGTCACTATCACTAGGATCATGTGAGTTATCAGAGCAATTTTTACCAAATTGTTTGGACTTGTTGGTCGCAGCTTTTTTTCATGAAAAGGTTCTAAAAAGACCTAAGCTTAGCAGCTAAATATGTGTCTCAGACTTTAACATGAAACAAAATAGACATAAAATGAGAGCAATATTGGAGAGAGACGAAATGAATACTCAGATTGCTGTTTGAGCATGCTCGGGAGTTTGGAAAACTACATGCAGTGTCCTTTGGGCTTTTCTATGGGGGTTTCAAAGTAAGTACAAAGCATCAGGCCTGTTGCTCGTCGGTCTAAAACCTTGGTTTGCATCCAGCTCTTGTTTGATGGCCACACGCTGACTGCAATGACTGATTGTGGGGGTGTCAGCGAGCTTCCTCTGAAGGTTTTTCAGGTGTAGCTGTACAGCAAGGGTGAGGGAACTTAGTCATTGAGGAGTGGCTCAGAGTAGTTTGGGTGGTTTGGGCATCTTATGTGTCCTCTCTGCCTTGACGTCACCTCAGTATCTTACCAGAAGACCTGGAGGCCATGACCTGGGCCCCTCTGCTTACATTGCCACCCCCACGACCTGGACCCAAATAACTGGCAGGAAACAGATGCACGGCTGAATGGATGCTGCTTTGTGTTTGCTGAATGATCAGTTGCTAACATGTTCATCCTACCAACTTTATAAGGCTATATTTTATTCTTGTTAAAGATTAAAGTCAACCTTAGAGTCT